AGTTGGAGTCTCACTCTGTCGCTGAGGCTGGAGTGTCGTGGCACACCCATGGCCAAGCAGCGTCGACTCACTGGGCTCTGGCAATCCTTCTGCCTCAGCCTTCCAACTGGTCAGAACTACAGGTGCGTGCTACCACGCCTGGCTAATTTTTTGATTTATTGTAGAGACAAGGTCTCGCCAAGTTGCCTGGGCTTGTGTTGAACCTGTGGGCTCGGGCAATCCACTCACCTCAGCCTTCCAAAGTGCTGGGATTATAGGTTGAGCCACCGAGCTCGACCTTTTTTTGTTTTTTCTTGAGCCAGCGTCTTCTCTGTTGCCCAGGCTGAACCTCCTGGGTTCAGACGATCCTTCCACCTCCGCATCCTGATCACCATGCCCACGTCATTAAAAAAATTTTTTTTTGTAGAAATGAGGTTTCACTATGTTGCCCAGGCTCATCTCAAACTCCTGAGCTCAAGCAATCCACCCACCTGAGCCTCCCAAAGAGCTGTGGTTACAGCCACGAACCACTGCACCTGGCCTCAATGGAGTCTTTCTTATCATTGCTTTCCCTAGACTGTAACCTTCTTGAGAGCAGAAACTTTGTCTTATTCACCATTATACTCCCGGGGCCCAGCAGAAAAGCTGCCGCATTACAGATGTTCAGAGAATATTTGAATAAATGAATAGTCTTAACCAGACTTAACCAGATTTTCTGTGTTTTTGTTTTGTTTTCTTTCTTGAGTTGGAATCTCACTCCGTCGCCCAGGCTGGAGTGCAGTAGCATGCTCACGGCCACCCAGCATCGATCTGCTGGGCTCTGGCAATCCTTCTACCTCAGCCTTCTAAGTAGCTGGAACTACAGGCGTGTGTTACCATGCCTGGCTAATTTTTTGATTTAATGTAGAGACAAGGTCTCACCATGTTGCCCAGACTGGTCTTGAACCTGTGGGCTCAGGCAATCCTCTTGCCTCGGCCCCCCAAAGTGCTGGGATTACAGGCTTGAGCCACCCTACCCAGCCTTTTTGTGTGTGTGTGTGTGTTGGAGTCTCTGTCGCCCAGGTTGTAGTGCAGTAGCAAACTCACAGCCACCACAGCCTTGACCTGTTGGGCTCAGGCAATCCTTCTACCTTAGCCTTCTAAGTAACTGAAACTACAGGCACACACCACCATGCTCAGCTAACTTTATTTTATTGTAGAGACAAGGTCTCGCCAAGTTGCCCAGGCTGGTCTTGAACTGGTGGGCTCAGGCAATCCTCTCGCCTCTGCTTTCCTAAGTGCTGGGATTACTGGCATGAGCCACTGCTCCCAGCTGATTCTCTTTTACTTCTCTGTCCAACCCTTACTTGTTCCCTCCCTCAAAGCCTCTGCTGTGGCTTAGAACTCCTGCATGTTACTCAGCAGTCACCAGACCTTACTGCGTGGGCTCCTGTCTTTCATGGACAGTTGCCATTGCCTTCTCACCATCACCACCACCTGATTTAGGGCGTTGTTATCTCTTGCCTGGAGTACACTGATGACCTCTGGAAAATTCCTCCAACATTCTCCACTAGCTGCTTTTCCCTCACTCCAGCTCAGGGATCCTATTAAAATGTAAATCCCACATGCCATTCTTCTTGCAATCTGTCAACGCCTTCTCTCCACATGGGGGATAAATCCCCGAATTCTGATCACAGCTTCTGCTGCTGTCCATGATCTGTTCCCAGCCTCCCTCTCCATCCCGTTTCAGCCACCCTCCTTCTTGCTTTTCTTGCACTGGACATAACGTAGTTTTCAGTGTCTCAACCATAGTGTGCTTTTTGTTGATTCAGACATTCCAGGCTGTTTCCTCTGCCTGGAATGTTCTTCCCAACCATCTTGGCCTGGCTGACTGCTATATACCTTTCACACCTCAACCCAAACCTCTCTTCCTTAAGGATGGCCCTCCCCAGGCTTAGTTAGGTCTCGCTGCTGTTGGGGACCCCATTGTGGGTTCTTAGGGCTCCCCACACTTTTTGGTAAACCTCATTATGCTTTGTTCCATGTATGCTCTCGTGTATGTTCCATGTATGTTGCCTGTATGTTCCATGTATGTCCTCATCATTCTTTGTTCCATGTATGTTTTCCCTGTCATAGTGCAAACCACCTGAGGGCAGGGATCATGTCTGTTTTTTCTTTTTTGCGTCGGAGTCTCACTCTGTCACCCAGGCTGGAGTGTAGTGGCATGCTCATGGCCACCGCAGCCTTGATCTGCTGGGCTCAGGCAATCTTTACACGTCAGTCATCCAAGTAGATGGAGCCACAGGCACATGCCACCTCACCCAGCTAAGTTTTTGATTTATTGATCTCGTCATGTTGCCCAGGCTGATCTCGAACCCCTGAGCTCTGTCAATCCTCTCGCCTTTGCCTCCCAAAGTGCTGGGATTACAGGCATGAGCCACTGCTCCTGGCCCATGTCTGTCTTTTCAACTCTTTATCACAAGCATCCCCTGACTTACATATGGTGTGCAACACATTTTCTTTCTTTCTTTCTTTCTTTTGAGTCAGGGTTTTACTTTGTTGTCTAGGCTGGAGTGCAGTGGCATGAACATGGCTCACCGTGGTCTCCAGTTCCTAGGTTCAGGTGATCCTCCTGACTCAACCTCCTGAGTAGCTGGGACCACAAATACTCACCACAATTCCTGGCTTATATTTTGTTTTTTTGTAGAGATGAGGTCTTGCTATGTTGCCCAGGCTGATCTCAAACTCCTGGGCTCAAACAATCCTCCCACCTCAGTTTCCCAAAGTGCTGGTATTGTAGGTGTGAGTCGCTGTGCCTGGCCTCACCAATTTTTGTTTAAGAATGGATGTATCGCCGGGCTCAGTGGCTCAGCCTGTAATCCCATGCCTTTGGGAGGCTGAGGTGAGTGGATTGCCTGAGCCCGCGGGTTCGAGACCCGCCTGGGCAGCAAGACCTCATCTGTACAATAAATCAAAAAATCAGCCCGGCATGGTCGCGCATGCCTGTAATTCCAGCTACTCGGAAGGCTGAGGCGGAAGGATTGCTGGAGCCCAGCAGGCGAGGCTGC